TTGAAACAGAAGTTTGGGTTCTCTGAGATTGAAAAATGAATTTTTTTTTTTTGGTACCGGGGATTGAACTTGGTCCTTGCACTCGCGCAGCAAGTGGCGAAACTACTGAGCTAGATCCCCAGCCCTCGAAAAATGAATTTAGGAACAACGGAGATGAAGAGTAGGAAGAATTTCTTTCGTTTTTCTCAGTACTGGGAATCAAACTCAGGATCTTGAGCTTGCAGGTAGGGTGCCACTGAGCTATATCCCCAGTTCTAGGAATGATTTATTGAGGGAAAGACAGCTCCTGTGTGAGAGGGACAGGAGGGGCACTCGGAAGGGCTGTTGCCCGGCCACTCCACCTTTCAAAGGTGTTTTACAGAGCAAAGCCACAAAGTGAGGCAGGAACAAAGTGGGACAAAACTATAAGACCCAGTGGAAAATTACAAGGTGGGCATGAGGTGGGACAAAACATGACCGACCAATAAGATTACAAGTATAGTCACCCAGGTGATATTGATTATATGGGAAAACAAGTCACATAGCAAGGGGACAAGGAATTTCCGGAAAGGAAATGGGCTAGGGAGATTGGTGTCTATTTAGAATATCAGTCACCGCTCCGTATCTCCATGGGATGGAGGTGGGTGCAGTACCGATACAGGAAATAGTACCAGAGATGAAATATGAAATAGTATGTCTCCCAGCCTGTTAGCTGTGTGATACGCTGAGCTCTTGTTCTCTAGAAATCGAACAATGAATTCCAGGAACAGCAGAGGTTGAGTAAGAAGAGGGCCGGGGATGTAGCTCAGTGGTTCCACCGCCTGCCTCCCAAGCACAAGGTCCCGAGTTTGATCCCCGATACCTAAAAAAGAAAAAAAAAAAGAGTAGGAAGATATTTATTGTTTGTATTTTTGGGGGGTTTTTTGTTTTGCTTTTTTTGTACTGTATTCATTGATAGGGAAGCTCCTGAGGGGCAGGAGGGGTCCCAAGTGGGCAGCCAGGGACCCCACTTTACCGAGGGTACAACGTGGGCCACAGCCATGAGCATCCAATAAGGGTACAAGTGCAGTCGCCTAGGTAATGGTGTCCAATCGGGACACAAGTCACGGAACAAGTGTGGACGGAAAGAACAAGATTCTCCCAGGAAGTGGCGGGTCCAGAGAGGTCTGCTCACCACCCGGGTGGCTGATGTCTGTCTAGGCTTCACTAGGCCCAGTGTTCTTTAGGGAAGTATGCAGGTCAGGTCATCTTGTCTTTATGTTGAGGCCCAGTTTCCAACCCATGTGTCTCCCTCCAGTGCAGGTGCAGTGTGTTTCACCTTTGTCCTGCCTCTCGAGGGCCCGGCCCTATCTGACTGCCTCTAATATCTTTGCCTCATCTGTGTATCACAGCTCCTTTTCTCTTTGTATAATGTTAAGCAGTGAATGTGTCTCAGTTGCTTTCTATGCTGAGAGCCCAGCCTCATCTAACCGCCTTATAGTAATTTCTAACTAACTTAGCTGTCTGCAGTAATGGGCAGCAGTGGGAGTTGTGTCCGTCAAATCGAGTGTCCCTGCGTGTGCAGGGACTGAAGATTACAAGCAAGACTGTCACAGAAATGAATCAGCTAAAGTAGCAAAGTCTTACACCCTCGTCATAGACTTAAATGTCTTCCAGGCCTGTGCTAGTGTTGGGAGCAATGCTACATAATTCTAGGGATAAATCATTTGGTTAGCCTAGTTCTCTTGCCTACAGCCCAGCTACAGAATAACTCCAGTTTGGCCTCCGGTCACAACTGAGACTTCAGTGATCCAGTGATGCGGTGATTCTCCAGGACAAGAAACATCCTGGGAGAACAAACATCTGCTCAGTTTCTCATTGTTCTTGGACTGATTAACATCTTGTTTGCCGGAGATGTACTGAACTCTCTGCAAGCCTTCCGTTACACCTTGTTTATCCCAATGTGAACTATTGAACTCTCTGCAAGTCATTTGTTACATTTGTTTCTCCCGATGTACTGAATAAAAGGTGTGGTAAGCTGAGGGTTTTGTCTTTGCTGCCCAGAGCAGCACTGATCAAAACCAAAGCTCAGCTTCTTCTCGGTCTCATTTTTCTACCTTTTTTTCTACCTGTAATTTTCTACCATTTTTCTACCTGTAATTCTCCGTGTGCTGCCGTGGCTCGCAGGAGACCAGGACTAACTGCAGAGGTTCTGGTAACGTCCCCTTCCCCTGTCCCCTACATGCTAGGACTGGACTGAGGGCCTTGCTCATGCTAGGCGAGCACTTTAGCATGGAGCCTCATCCTCAAAGCTTCTTCTGTCACTTGGGGACAGGGTCTCACTGAGTTCCCCAGGCTGGGTTCCTGCTTGCAACCCTCTTGCCTCATCCTCCTAAGTAGCTGGGAGGGATTACAGTTGTGGACCCTGAGCCTGCATCCTGTGCTTCGTATTTGTGTTCCGGATCTTGGTAACTGTCAGGACCTTTCATGAGTCGGCGCTAAAAAACTACCACTTCCTTTATATCAAAGTGAACAGGGTGATATAAAAATGTAGGCTTTTTTTCAATCTATAGCTGTATTGATTTGGGGCCTAGATGCCCCATTCACATAAATGGAATTATTTTTTAGTTTCTTTTTTTTTCAATAAGAGGAATTGAACTCAGGACCTTGTGCTTGTGAGGCAGGTGGCAGCACCACTAAGCTAGATCCCCGACCCCTGTTTTTTGTTTTTTTAAAGACAGAGTCTTGCTATGTAGCCCAGGCTGGCCTTGAACTCTGGGCAATCCTCCTGCCTCAGCCTCCCAAGTGTTGGGATTATAGGTGTGTGTCACCACACCCAGCTTCTTCCACCTAAATCTTACCATTTTCAAGAACAGATGGATAAACCAGGTGCAGTGGTGACTCCCATAATTCCAGTTACTGGAGAGGTTGAGGCAGGAGTATCACAAGTTCAAGGCCAGCCTGTCTCAAAAATAATATGTGTATAATATGAATGAGAGAGATGCTTTTCTGTGCCACTTTCATTACCTTTTGTTGTAACTCCCTGTTTCACTATTTGAAACAATATATTAGGAGATAGTGCACAACAATGAATTTGATGCCTCAACCCCTATCAATCCCTGTACTATTCAAATTATTCTCCATTAAGGGCAGTTCCTTGGGCTGGGGGTGTAGCTAGAGGTGGAGCACCTGCCAGGCTGGTTCATTTCACACAGAGAGAGAGGTGGGGGCGGGGGGAAGAAAAGAAAGAATTTCCTTATATTTGTTAAAGCGCATCTGTTACATCGGTGATGCTTGCATAAATTTGTGAGAGCATCCTGATGTTGATCCCTGTGGATTTTTACGTGAATTTAATCACACACTCCCACAATACCTTGCAGTGCAAATATATGGCCAGGTAAATTTACAGAAGATAAAAAGGAGAGGAAAGAGAAAAATACCCGAGAAAGGAAAAAGAGCTGCAGGACCCAGGGGTTAGGAAAAGACTAGAACCTTCCTCAAAGTGATTGGACAAATTGAAAAAAAACACAAACCCATTACCAGCTACTTAAAAAACGTGAGGGGATTGAGGTAGAGCGAAGCTCGATTGGTTAACAGGAAGCTGTGGGCTCTGCATGTCTATTTATATAAACAACATTTGCTTTTTCCGTGGTGGGTTCTGCCCAGACCTTGTTGACTGAGCTTGCTGCTTCTGGTGCTACTTGACTGGTTTTTAAAATGAAGAAAGAGAGAGAAAAACACTGCAACCACCTGTTCCTCTCCTGGTCACAGGCCACAGAGAACCTAGCCCGACACTTTCCCTGATGCCGGGTTAGTGAAAACGCTAAGCCACACGAGAGTGTTGGTTGGCAGTGTTGCATTATTAACCAAGGCCGCCTTGGAGTTGACAAAGCCACAAGCCTGTCCGCCTCTCCTCCACTGTGCTCCTGGCTCCTTCCTTTCATCCTGAGTTTCCAGACCTCTCGAGACCCTGCCCCACACTTCCCGAATGAACTTGGAGTTAGGGCCTGGAGAACCCGGTGTTCCTGCCCTGGGCTCCGCCTGTCACTGTCTCAGTCCTCCCTCCCTGGGGTGGGCAATGAGGGGCACTGTGGCTTCTGACCAGATGCACAGTATTGCTTAGACATTTCACTTTGGCTACAAACACCCTGAAGCCCTGAGGGAGGAGCTTGTGGCTAGCAACTAGCACCCTTGATGTCACCAGAAGTAAGAGGCAGAGGTGGGGAAACAAGCTGGTGTTTGTACCATCTGCCGTGAGTCAGAAGAAAACTAAGAGAAAGTGTGCGTGGAACTCTAGTGAGCAGCGTGCACACTTGAATTTCCAGTTTGTTCATTCGAGGAGAAAGTGTTTTCTTGAATCACAAAGGTGAAATATGGGGAAGTCAGGCTCAGAGCAGGATCAGCTCAATTTGGGAAGAGAGAGTAAGGAGCAACATAATCTTATGGGAAGGCAGAGGAGGCATGCCTGTCCAGGACTCCAGGAAATCATTGATTTCCCAGTGGATATGTTGACCATACCCTTGAGTCCCAATGTTAATGATCCATTTTAAGACTTTTTTTTTTTTTGGTACCAGGGATCGAACTTGGGTCCTTGCACTTGAGCAGAATGATCCATTTTAAATCATTGTTTTCTTTAAAATAGAAACTCCAGGCCTGAAGTTGGACCTCTCAGGGCTGGAGTGCTTGCTTAACTAGCATGAGGCCCTGGATCCCATCCCCAGTGCCACCAGAAAATGTAGAGAACTTTACAACAATCAGAAACGCCAAAACATAGGAATCTGGTTGAGCAAAAGGCAAGAGTAAAGCGTGAAACTTCCCCTAGCAAGACTGCTGGATTTGAAGAGGGCAGAAAAGAAAAGGGCCTGTATGTGGTGGAGAGGACATCACCTGGGGATGTTTGACAACCAACTGTAGCATTGTGAAGAATGGAGCAGAGGAGAGCAGGATAGACACTGCACCAAGGTTGGTTCTCGGTTTTGAAAGTGGGTTAAAAGAGCCTGAATGCAGATCTTTTTTATAAACACAGGAGAAAAAAGGCAATAACCAGACCAAGGGCCAGTTTATTCTGAGAAAGAAGCTGGATAAAAATTCATGTTAAGATATTTAATTTGCGATTCGTACAATGCTGGGGCTGAGGTGCTGCCCTTGGGGAATGTCAGTCCTGTCTTGTTCAGCAGGCAGCCGGAGGGGCAAGTTCATGAGAACTTTTTCTTTTCTGTATTTTCCCAAGTTCCAAGCACAAAGTACCTTTTAAAATATTTCCTAAAATATACATTAGTATTGATTTTTCAGTTGTTGATTATTATGTTAAGTATACAAATGTATGGCAGACAGTGTAATAATTCAATACATGTATGCAGCATGCAATGATCATATCAGGGTAGGTAACAGTTCCATCTCCTTAAACATTTTTGTTTACATTTTTATTAACATGTAATAATTGTATGTACTTATGAAGTATGTGTGAGATTTCAATACATGTATACAATATGCACTGATCAGATGAGCTTCATTAGTGTTTCCATCTCCTTATTACTTCGGGTTTTGAGCATTTTGAAGAAATTCTTAGAAAATCTGTGCCTATGGCATCTCTCAATAGCAGCTACAATATGGATTTAATATGTTTATATATGAATATATGTAACTCTAGATACTATGTGAAGCAGAGATCCCATGAATTGGGTTTGTATGTGTGTGTATTTCTCTTTCATCAGTTGTACAAATCCCATTAAACTGAAAATACTTTCTTCTTTTTTTTTTTGGCCATCCTGGGGTTCGAAACCAGGCTAACGCTCATGCTAGGCAAGTGCTCTCCCGCCGAGCTACACCTCAACCCCTGTCCTCTAACAGCGAGGACACAGCCATAGCCAGGTGTACTGCCACATGCCTACTGTTCCTACTGCTTGGCAGGCTGAGGCAGGAGAACTCCAGTTAGGAGCCAGCCTGGGCAATTTAGTGACTTCCTGTCTGAAAATGAAATAGGGCCGAGGGTGCAGTTCCTTGGTGAGTTGTTGGCCTGGGTTCAATCTCAGCACCACGGAAGGAAAAGCAGGAATCTGAGCCTCATTTCACTAGTTTTCTCGGCTACATGAAAAGGAATCCAACGCCTATTGTCATATGTGACTTCTGTCTGCTAGTTCCTATTTGAATTCCACTGGCTTTTATAGAAAGGTTTTATTATTCAGAAAGAAGGGTTCGTTACAAATATTTGTCACTTACTAAAGTGGGATTCTGGTGGCCGGGAGTGTACCTCAGCATAGTGTCTGTCTAGCACGCAGGAGGCCCTGGGTTCAACCCCAGAACTGCCATGGTCCCATTGCTGGACTGAGGTCAATACTGAGGACAAAGCAAGCAGACCATCTTGCTGTGAATGTGGCTGCAGTATATCTAGGCTTTCATGTGCATTTAAATGCAGAGAATCATAGAATAAAAACCTTAAAGTAACAAAAGATGAGGAAATTAAACCAGGGCCTCCTAAAGAAAAATGCAGCTTTCTCTGAGGCTGCATGGTTACTGCCAGAGCCAAGATAAGTGTCTGAATGCTGTGTTTCTTTTCCTCTTTCATTTTAAACATTAGCCTATTGATGTTCAGATCTGCACTCCCTTCTTAGGACTCAACTTGGGATATTCTAGAAGCCATTTGTGCACTGGGGAACTGGTGAGGATGGAGGAGTAGCAACAATTCAAGGAAAGCCAGAAACATGAGTACAGTTTCACAAGGAGTTTAACCTGCTTTTTGGAGGTGGCCAACCCCAGCACCACCACACACGAGTAAGTAAATGAGACGTCACTTCCAGCCCTATTTCCTGCTGGGATGAAGGCTCGACAGACTGGCATTAAGAGCCCAAGTTCTGTGCCCGGCACTGTTCTCTCTGTAGCCCAGCCTCTGTGCATGGCAGAACACAGTACTGGGTCTTCGTGTATTTACCTGAGATTATAAACTCAGCTCTGTTGGAGAATCTCCTAGAAATCACCTACAAAAATTACCATCATCCATCTCATCAAGAAAACCTCCCAGGCAAAATTTAGAACAATCAGAGCAAAATAGTGAAAAAGAATGTGGAGAAATGATGAAGAGTTATTCTAGGAACTAGGAAAGGAATATAAATGAAGTTCTATGGCCAAAACAGACAAGAATAGCATCTTCCACCCTAAGATCTGTCTCTAGTAGATTTAATAGTTACTAACTCAGAGGCAGGGGCTGCCCTCAGTCCTGGAGCTCTTGCCTACCATGCATGAGGCCCTGGGTTCCATTCCCAGCACTACCAAAAAAAAAAGAACAAAACATTAACCTGAAGTTTATTCTGTTCTGAAAACTGTATGTAGAATGTTTCTATATCAAGCAGGTGATCGGCCTTTACCCCCTGAGCCTATGATACTGGAAAGCAGCAAAACTATGCAACGATTGTATTTAAAGTACTGAAAAATGAGATAAATGTTAGAGGCTCCGTGAAAAATTAGGGAGCAGGGGAAAAACTAGACATTATAAGTGGATTGGCTTGAGGAATACTGATGTCTATGACTGGATGGAGAAGCAGAATTCCCATTTTTCCTTCTTTCCTTTTTCCGATGATCACAGGCCCCGGGTCTCTGCGGATTCACTTCTAACAGGGTGGAAGTTGGAAGTAGTTGGAGCGACGGAGTCGCCTGGGAGGCAGACCTGCCCTCTGGCGACACAGCTCATCTGAGGGGGAACAGAGCGTCAAGCTGGGGGAGATGTAAGGACAAAAGACTTCACAGTGTGGTGTAGTAAATATGTCGAAGAAAAAAGGACCCAGGTCAGACCTCAGCTCTGCCACTTACTAGTTTCCACTTTCTAGAAAGCGCCTTACCTTTTGCAACTTCACTATCCCTTTCTGTAAAACCGGCAGGAAAATACCCACCTCCAGTGTTTGTGATATGACCGTGACCGTGTTCACCCAGTGCTAGTGCAGGTGGTGAGTGAGTGGCAGTTTCCTTTATGCCCAGCTCCCGAGTCTGCTGGTCATGGACCTACTCATCGAAAAGCGAGGCCCAGTCATTCCTCATCCATCTCAGTGTTTACTGTGTGCGAACAGCTAACTTTAGCAAGTCCCCTGAGACCCCGGAAGGTGCCTTGGTCCCAAATGTTCATCCTTGCCTCAAGGTGCTTCCCTTGCAGGTGGCTCCCACAAAGCCACCAGGGGCCAGGCCGCCTCCTCCCACGGCGGCGGGGACTCCGGCTCTGACTCAGCAGCCCGGATCGAGGCAGCTGCTGAGTCAGAACTTGCAGTGTCTGTGGCTTTGGCCCCAACCACAGCCAGCTTCGGGGCTGTCCACGGCCGGGCGAGGTGAGAAGTGTGTTTGTTCCCATCACGCCCAGTCTGTAGCCACACTTCGGACTCCTGTGAGATGATTCTTAAGAGTCTTTCTGCTTCTGCGATTTCACAGAAAGCAACGTAAATGCTTCCTGGCATTGGTGAACTGTTTGTAGCGTAGCCAATTTCTAAATGCCCCATCCAGGGCATAGTTTTTTATAGACCTCACCCAAACCTTACCATCTCCGTGTGCGTGTGTGTGTTGTGTGTGTGTGCGCGCACGCGAGCGCGTGCATGCGTGTCCTTTTCCTGATGGCCCTTAAAGCAGCCAGAGACTTAGAAAACTGTCTATAGAAGCGGGGGTCTCGATCTCGCCAGAAAGGGACCCAAGGGTCCGGCAGTTCTGCAGGTTCTGTGCATAGATGGAGTGCACTGCTGACCTTGTTTGTGTGGGGCTGCTTCCTGCAGGGGCTGACGGGAGTTGGGGGACAGAGGCCTCCTCCGAAACCAGACCTGACATCTGAGAGCCTTGTTTCCAGCCCTCGAGCTGCCCCTGCTCACCGAACACCCAGGCGCCACCTCACCTTTCATGGCTTCGTGCTCCTTACAGACCAGGCGGGAGCAGATCTCATTGTTGATGATGTACATACGCCGCAAGCTGCCATGGTCCCCATGTCGTGGTGGAGGAAGGAGACAGAAAAGGCCTGAGAGGGAGAACAGCCGAGGCCAGGGGCCTTCCCACTCATCCCTACCCGGGCTCCCTAAGCCTTTCAGGCTTCTCTGTCCCCTCGACAGAATGGAAGAGGCGGAATAGTATTGGTGACACCTAGCACATCCCGCTAGGAGTCGAGCTGAGCTCCCCTTTCCATTATTTTCTACTTTTGGGGCTTCTCTTTTGCCTCCGCCTCTTTCCATCCAGGGGTAAATCAACCTGCCAGTGTTTCCCTCCGGATCGTCCTCTCACAGCCCCGGCCTTCACTACTTCCTGGCATCTGTTAGCGCAGTCTCTGTGTCCCTCACCCGACTCCAGCTTCTAGTCAGCACCTTCAGGGACATCTAGGAGGGTTATGCTAGAATCCTCTGCCCATCAAAGATTGTGGTTCCAGTCTGGTGCCCAGAATCCTAGTACTGTGGGAGGCTGAGGCAGGAGAATCACAAGTTTGAGCCCAGCATGGGCAACTTAGTGACCTAGCAAGAGCTTTTCTCAAAATTAAAAAAAATTTTTTTTTAAGGGCTGGGGATGTAGCTCAGTGTGGATTCAACCTCTGGTACCCCCCAAATAATAATAATAATAATAATAATAATAATAATAATTCCAATTCCACAGTGAACGTTCTGGCCTCTGACCCAAAAACACTACCAAGTAGAGAAGGCACCACCTGGGCCTCAGGCCTCACCTGGTGAAGCAGATCTGGTGGGCGCATTGCTTGATTGGCCGGTGCACTGAATAGAGTCTCGTACACGTGAACTTCTCATCTCGGCACTCTGAGGGAGCCCAGCACAAAGCACAGGGAGGTCAAAATCAGGGCAGCAGAACGCGGGCTTAAGGGCTGGGGGGAAGGAGACGGGGGATGCAGAGTGGTCTCCACAGAGGCCTCCTTCGACCCAGGCGCATGCTTCCTGCTCACCAAGAGCGGAAGAAGAGAGTGACTCAGGTGAAATTTAGGTGCTTCCCTACCTGCATGAAGAAGTGCTTAAATAATCGCTAAGCACTCTTCTAGGAAAAAGACCTTTCTAAGATTATTCACGTTGCACTATGAGGTATGAAGCCGAAAGGCTGATAACCTCATTCTGGAGAACCAGGTCTGGGCAGGTCCCTAGTTCTTGCCGCCAGCTGTTTCCCACCCCTGATGGGGATCCGAATATCAGCACTTCGGGGAAAGTGCTCGCATCTGTGATGTCTAGGGTAATGCGAGTCCTCGTCCTCAAACTGGTTTGCTTTCCCAATGTATTAGTCAGCAAATAAAGTTCCAAAGTGGGACAGCAAGAAGGGGTTTCGGGGACCATGCACCAGTGATCTCCTCTTTCCCCAGCAACTTTTAGGGTTGCGCTCATCTGAAACTAGCAAACAAACAACACTCAGTGCAGGGAGTGAACGGCACTAAAAATGCTCTTTGAGGAAGAGTTAGAAATGAGCTAGATGGACAATATAGTAGTGTCTAAAGAGCAAGGAGGTAAGGGATCCACAGGAAGAAAGAAAAGCCTAAGAAAAGACATGCCCAAAGTAACCATACCTGCAGTGGCGTTTTTATCATTGGCCAAAGCTGGAAAGCAAAAATTGTATTCGGTTATTACCAATTCTAGGAGTCACCATCTGTAACTGTGAAGCTGCTTCACTTGGGAGCCCCTTGGGGTTGTCATACATAGGGAGCAAGTGAGTTAATAAGTCTCAACAAATTCTAAAACCCCCAAGGGGCTGACTTGATCCACAGAACGGAAGAGATAGGGAGTTAGGATGGGATTTTGCCTTTCTCCTTTGTCTCCCGGAGAGTTGAAAAATTCATTCTATAGTGATATCTTTGTGTTGTTCAAAACACAAGTGGAGTGTGGTGGTGCACACCTGTACTTCCAGCACTCTAGCAGGCTGAGGCAGGAGGACTGGAAGTTCAAACCCAGCCTGGGAAAAGGAGTGACTTAGTGAGAGCCTGTATGAAAATAAAACATGGGGGAAAGGGGGTAGGGATGTAGCTCAGTGTAAAGGCCCGGGGTTCAATCCCTAGTACTGAAGCAACATTTTTAAAAAATGTTAGAGCTGGGGATTTAGCTCAGTGGTTCCGCAGCCTGCACCACAAGCGCAAGGGCTGGAGTTCGATCCCCGGGACCCCCCGCCCCCCATTCAGAGATGGTATTTTGTATGTTGCCCAAGGTGGCCTCCATCTGTGGGCTCAAGTGACCCTTCTGCCTCAGCCTCCCAAGTAGCTTGGGACTGCAGACGTGTGCCACCATGCCCAGTGATGCGCCAATATAGTGGGAACACAAAGCCGACAGCCATATGCCCCAAAGAGCTTGGCCCGGAGCTCAGGAGCAGACGTCCCGGCCAGTAGCAGATCCTCCTGTGGGTCAGACCCACCGTCATGGGCTCTTTGCTAAGAGCATGGCCAGGGGCAGGTCCTATCCGAGCCTGGCCTCAGCAGCAACTTCAATAGGGGCTTAGTCCTCGAAATGGGGAGCTGGCCGAGGAGAGCCATGGGAGTTCTATGGGAAGTGTCACCGGAAGAGCTCCTCGGGGGGGGGGGCCCAGCAAGGGTGCCAGGTGACACCATCACCCGAGGCTCTAAGGCAGGTCTCTGCACTGAGCATTTCCAAGACTGCTTCCAGCCCAGACTTTGGCAGTAAGCTCCAGGTCTCTTGACCCAACTGCCCTCATATGCAAGGGTTATTACGCTTTTCAGAGTCTCCAGCTTCCTGATGTCATAAACTGGCCACTTTCCCTCTGCTAGGCTGATTCAGGCCTCCAAGAGTCCTGCTGCCACCTGCTGCCTGGACGTCACCTGACTACTGCTCTCCCACTGTGCTGTGGTTACCTCTGCTCGCCTGCCTTGGGATGCTATCTTTTTTTTTTTTTTTTCTTTTTTTGGAGGCAGGCTCTTGCTATGCAGTCTGAGCTGGCCTTGAACTCACTATGTAGCCCAGGCTGGCCTGGAACTCATGGTGATCCTCCTGCCTCAGCCTCCCACATGCTGGGATTACAGGCATGCACCACCACACCCAGCAAGCCTGCTGTCTTTTAAGGAGAAGCTGTCCAGCATCCTGCAGGTTTCCTGGGTTCCAGGCTGGTCTGTCAAATCAGTCTCTGCTCTGGAGGCTCAGGTCGAGGGAGTGGAGGTGACCCGTGATCTTTCGAGCCTACAAATCTGATTCGATTCCTCCCTTGCAGAAACCTCTTTTTTTTTTTTTTTTTTTGCAGTACAGGGAAGTGAACCCAAGGCCTTCACAATGAGCTGCATCCCCAGTTTTTTTGTTCTTGTTTTTAATTTGAGATAAGAGTCTCATCAAGTCACTAAGTTGCCCAGCCTGGGCTTAAATTTATGATCCTCCTGCCTCAGCCTCCCACAGTGGTAGGATTATAGTCATGAGCCAGCAGGACCAGATTCTGTTTGGTCTTTATTTCCATCTGGTGCCTTTTGCATAAATTGTTTTCTTTACCTAAAAGTTTCACTTGATTCTCTTCTACTTGCCTTTCGGGAAGCAGCTTGGCCAGCAAGCTCTCTGCCAAAGCCTTTCCTTCCCCAGGCTGAGCGTTGTCAAGGGCCCCTGGTGCCTCCCACAGCTCCTCTGCTCACCTGGATCCGCGTGTTACAGAAGTGAAGAAAGCTGCCTATGCATTTGTCCAGCTTGTCTCAGACTAAGATAGCTAGTAGAAGAAATTCGGTTTTGTTCACCTTTATATCCTCATTTAGTAGCAGGCTTTCAAAAGTGATTTGTTAAAAAAAAATCTGAGTGTACCTCAGTGGTACCATGCTTGCCTAGCATGCATGGGGTTGTGGGTTCAATCCAAAGCACCACAAAGATAGATTAAAAATAAAGGGGCTGGGGATTTAGCTCAGTGGTTCCGGCGCCTGCCTTGCAAACACAAGGTCCCGAGTTCCATCCCCAGTTCAAAAAAAAAAAAAAGTAAAAATACAGACATAACTAGTAATTAGTCTCTCCTTTCCTTACTTCCTACCACTGTCCCTTGTGCCTTGCCATTTAAAAACTCAGTTCCGAAAAAAAAAACAACTCAGTTCTGGCCGGGGATTTAGCTCAGTGGTTTTGCCGCCTGCTGCGCAAGAGCAAGGACCCGAATTTGATCCTCGGTATCAAAAATAAATAAATAAATTAAAACTCAGTTCCCCTCCTGTGCCAAACTGCATTTTGCTTCGCATCTTTGATCGTGCTGTTACTCTTGAGGTGGAAGGACCCTCCCCTCCTCGAGCATCTTCATCTTGCCATGAGTTCTGGAAACTTTGAGGAAGACCAAGTCTTGCGTGTATTAAACACCTAGCAGAGTTCCTGTTTGTTTAGGGCTCAAAATGCCATGCACATAAACGCAGCTGCTCTTTTCTACTCTGGCTCCTCCCTCCGTGGACTCTGGGGAAGCCCAGCCTGGCCCGGCCCTGGATCCCAGGTCTGAACTCACCCAGCTCATCTGTGGAAGGCTCGATATCAGCCAGAACTGAAAAGGCACAAAACAGCAGGTGTGAGGAGAGCTTTGAATTGCAAGAAGGAGGTGGGGTGGGACAAGGAAAATGGAGACACCAGGTCAGGGGCAAGACTGCAGCCTCGTTTCTGAGCTATGCCCAAGGAACCCAATTCACCAATGCTGACTGGGAAGGTGTTTCGAAGACTATCAGTCCTGCTGATTGCAAACTAAGTTTTGGAAGCTTCTGTTACCCACGCCTTATGTTAGCTGCCAATCCACTTTTTTCCATTTAGAGACCTCTTATTCTTCTTATTCCTCTGTCACCAAGCAGCTCTTCCACAACCCCTTTATCCAGAACTAAGACCACAGAATTAATTAAAGATCCAGAGCAAACACGGAGACTATTGACAAGACGGCCATGTCTTTAGGAACTTCCGTGCGACTTGCCTGTCTCATCAGTAGAAGGATCATTCACCAGATCTGCAGACACAAAAGAGGAAATGAAAACTGGAGGTTGGAAAAGTTGCTAACAGAAGCAGGACAAAGGAAGGATTGTCTAAAAGGAGACCAAAAGGATAGAAATGAAGTCCTGCAGATGACCAGGAAAATGCATCCGAGGAAGCCCGGGAGAAGTGTAGGGCGGGCATGTCCACTGCCTCGGAGGCCACCCCAGCTCTTCCCAAGTTCTTCTGATCTTTGCTTCCTTTTGGGAATTCATCCTCCTCAACCTTCCTGCCCCCAGCATGATAGCAAGTAAGTAAACAAGAAAGGCAGCTCACAAGGGTCATCTGTGAATGTTTCTTCAGTCACGTCATCTGCAAGGGAATCAGAGAGCGTTTTCTGAGAATCCTGTGCCCCTCAGAAGGGAAACTGTCTAGGACAACATTCAGCGTGGAGCCCACGGCTGGCTTTCCTTGCCCACCTGCAGTAATTGGAATGGATTGATGATCTCTAGACAATACTTAGATAAAATTAAAATTGCTTATACCAAATACACTGAAGTTTTATGTATATGGTGCTAAGAATGGAACCCAGGGTCTTGCATGTAATTATTGAGTATTGAATTACATCCCCAGCCTGCTGTCATTACATTAAAAGCAAATTACAAGGCAGTGTTCACCAGGCACGGTGGTGCACACCTGTAATCAGAGGGCTGAGGCAGGAGGATCGCCATGAGTTCAAGACCAGCCTGGGCTACATGATGAGTTCAAGGCCAGCCTGAACTACATTTGAGACCCTGTCTCAAAAAACAAAAACAACGGAGTGTTAACATTTCATTAAATTTATATTTACTTGAAATTTTAAAAAATTTATTTTTGCACACATGCAGTGTGCGTGTGCGTGTGTGTGTGTGTGGTGCTGGAGTTCGAATCCACAACCTTGGACACACTAGGCAAATCCTGTACCATTGAGCCACATCCCCAGACTAACATTTCACTGTATTTTAAAAATGTTTATATTTTTGTTTTACACGTTTAAGGTGTGCAGCATGTTTTGATATACATAGGTGAAGCCACATGGTTGTGGCAGTCAAATTAATATGTCCATCTCCTCACATAGGTACGCATACTCTCTGTGTGTGTGTGTGTGAGTGCCACCTGAAACTCCTACGATCTATAGTCATGTCACAAAACTTTTAATTTTTGTTTTGTTTCTGTTTTTTGAAACAAGGGTTCACTATGTAGCCCAGGCTGGCCTCGAACTCGCAGCAATCCTCCTGCCTCAGTCTCCCGAATGCTGAGATTACAGGCATGTGCCGCCACCCTCGGTTTAACACTACATTTAACAAACATTTGCAATTAACCTGCAATGTAGTTTATAGTCATAATCCATTCTGTCCACTAGGGGTCAGCAAATTCACAGTTTGCTTTAACTTTTTAACTTCAGAGTCCAAAGTTAGATTTCAATCCAGCGAAAATAAGCATTTTCATAAAAGCACGTCAGAGTTATTGGTACTTGCAGGAGACGTGTAAGTAGAGCATTCCATAGGCGTGTCCTCTGCTTGTCTCATCTTTTATTTCCCTAAATTCCAGATAGAATGGTTGTGCGTGTGTGTGTGTGTGTGTGTGCGCGCGCTTGCACTGGGGTGGAACCGAGGGTCTAGCACACGTGTTACACATCTGGCCTGATTAAATGCTAAGCACTCTGCCACTGAACTACATACACCCCAGCCCTGGGCCTCTTTGTTTGAAAACTCAGTACGAGCTTTCTTCCAGAGCAAGTTTTGCTAAAAGGAATCCGCGTCAGTTCCAATCCTGTTGTAGTTTATTTGAAAAACCAGTGAACTGCATCGCTGTGGGGACTGAGAGGTGCTGAGCCCGGGGCGGGGCGGGGGCGGGGGGGGGACTCTGTCCCGCCCAGTCCCTTCCCTGCTGAGGCAGAGCCCCCCTTCTCCGTGTGTATCTCAGTAAACCAGAGTTTGCACCGGGCCATCGAAAGGGCAGGATTTAATCTTCAGCCGTCTGCATCATAACCTATACAGTTTCTGCCGGGAAAGCCTCCTGAGGTCATAAAGTAGGACTGGGCCTTAACCTGAGTAGAGAAACCAGTTCAGATTTTTAGTTTTGCTAGTGCCGAAATCTTCCCTAGATTCAGAAAGTCAGAGAGTCAGGTGTTTTAACGAACAACATATTTTTATCCTTTTTCTCTTTTTCAGTACTTCAGGGCCTCACTAAGTCACTGAATTGCCTGGGCTGGCCTCAAACTTGTGATCCTCCTGTCTCAGCTTCCCAGAGTGCTGAGATTACAGGCAGAGGCACCATGTCTGGCTCATTTTTATCTCCAGGACCCAAAGCAAGAAATATATATTACATTGGGCCCCATAAACACCATGCATGCAACAGAAATAAATTTTATGTAATAATACTTAACTTTTGCACAACACACGCAACACATTCTGATATATTTGTTTTAGTTTTATCTTAATTTGTTTAAAAAAATGATGAGCCTTCAATCCCAGGTACCAAAAAAAAAAAACTGATGAGCCACTAAATGCTTTTATGACCCATTAATGGGTTTCATGCTGCTCTGCCCCATCCTCCAATTCTTGAGGCCTGGGAAAAGTACAGAGACAAAGTGGTATTATGTAGGAAGCCTTCGGGGAGGGCAGTTTCCATCATCAGAAGGAAAACGTCCCTCAGGAGCCAAAAGAACCAAGTTCTGTCCAGTCCTGCACAAGTGTGCTGTACCCAGATGGCTTTTACCCTGTCTGTGTTTTACTTTGTGTACACAGATAGACTAGAGCTTCCTGAGACTGGGGTGCAGTTCAGTGACTCGGTGCTCGCCTAGGATAAATGGATGAATAAATCAGTAAAGTCTCGCCACCCCACCCCCAACACTGGAGATTGAATCCAGCATCTTTGCCCTGACCTGCAAGCCCCAGCCTTTTAAATTGCTCAGGAGAGGCTCGAACTTGTGATTCTGCCACCACACCGGGTTCCCCTAAATTATCTTTTAAAAAGGGCTGGGCTGTAGCTCAGTGACAGGGCCTTTGCCTAGCATGCGCGAGGCTCTGGGTTTGACCCCGGCCCTACAAGACAGGGTCTCACGAGTGGGAGAACAGGCGGTGGAAGCAGCTGAAGCCCACCCTGTTTCTCCTACCTGGGCAGTGTCGCTTTCTATCCTAGCACAGGTTCTTAGCTCCTACAGTTGTCTACAGTGTCCTGCTTAGAACCCCGACACAGCCCGTAGCCGAGGCCTCACCCACCTCCTCGCTGACCGCTGACCCCCGCAGGTATCCAGCCTGCAGCAAAGGGAGAAGAGAGGCGTGAGTGACCCAGGCTGGTACCCCATGATCCTCCTGCAGTACCCAGGACCTGACGGGAGCCGGGTGTGTTCAGCGCTGGTTTCTTCCCCTGGGGCTCAAGGTCGCTGTCCTCAGTACTGCGGGTGGTGTGTGCGAGGTGCTGAAGGACACATTCCCGAGACCGGCCTCTGCGGGCCCTGACCAGGAGCCTGGAGCCGCAGTCTCCTGGTCAGGGCCCAGTCTCCTGGTCAGGGCCCGCAGAGGCCGGCCTACTCCTCCCTCCCCTCCACAGCAGCTGAGCGTCAGTGCCAGTCCCGTTGTCCCCGCTCCCCGGCCTCTGCCCCATGCAGGGACTCACCAGAGGGGACGAGGAGCATGGCGAGGAGGAGCAGCAGCGCCCTGGGCTCTGAGAGCAGCATCTGAGGTGGGAGGGAAGGCATGATCCAGGCCAGCCTGGCCGCCAGAGCCCTGATGGTCTAGGAGTCCTCCTGCTTTCTTAAGACTCAGACCCTGTCTCTCCTGTTTTAAAATACTTCATTCAACACGTATTCTCCCTCACATCTGATCTTGGGTCACTTGCCATTATTCTCACTCTTTTCCACCAAATCAGAGGGTTTTGTTTTTTGAGACAGGGTCTCACTGTTTCCCAGGTTCACCTCAAACTCCTGGGCTCAAGCAGTCCTCCTGCCTCAGCCTCCTGAGAAGCTGAGATTACAGCATGCACCATCACACCTGCATTCAGAGGGATGTTTGTATTCGAAACAGTTCATTCCCGGCCCTGCCTGGTGGCCTGTTGCCCGTGAATGACCTTCTTGTCACGTATCTGTATCTTTTTTTTACAGTGTCCACTTCATCTGGCCTTGAATTCCAGGGCTAATTAGGCGGGGTCCGCTCCGCACAGCTCTGAGAGGGGACATTCCTCAGTGTGTGCTTCGCTCACACACGCACACGCGCATGTGCGCGCGCGCGCGCACACACACACACACACACACAGACACACACGCATGCACACGCCCTCTCTGTCCTGTCGGGGGTTTTAGGATCAAACCACTCACCCTCTCCGCGCCTGTTCTTCGCACTCTGTGCTCTGCTGCTGACCGCACCACTGTCCTCCGCCTGGCTGCTCTCTGGCTGGGACCACAGAGCCGAGCCCCGCCCTGGGAAGGGCTTTGGGCTGGACCTCCTCTGCAGCAGAGCCTGAGAGGGAGCCAGGCCGGAGCACAGGGTGCAGCGTTACACGGCTGGGCCGGCCAAGGGAGCAGAATGCACAGCAGCTCACGCCCTCCTTCCCCAGGGCCGACCACCCTGGGAGGGGCTCCCCACACCCTCCTTCCCTCTTGCCTCAGGGGTCCCCTCTTCTTTAGGGTGTGGCACATCACTGGGCTTTGTTTCTGGCTTTCTTCCTTTTTTTTTTTTTTTTTGAGCAAGGTCTTGCTTGGTAATCCGGACTGCCATTGAACTTGCACCCTCCTGCCTCAGCATCCCCGTGCCAGGATTACAGAAGTGTGCCACCACACCTGGCTCTTCTTTCCACATTTGAATCCTTCCTCCATCCCCCTTTCTCACTGCCTTTCTTCTATTCCCCCCTTTTTGGGGGTACTGGGACTAAGCTAGGGCCTTTCCAATGAACGACATCCCCAGCTCTTTTTTGGTTTTTGAGACAGGATCTCACAAAGTCTCTAAATTGCTCAGGGTGGGATTACAGGCACTGGCCATCACACCTGGCAGAGTTTCTTTGTTTTTAAGACAAGCTCTCGCTATGCAGTTCAAGCTGGCCTTGAACTCAAAGCAATCTTCCTGCCTCAGCCTCCCGAGTGCTAGCATTACAGGCATGTGCCACCACCACCAGGCTGTCTTTTTCAACATCAAAAAATTCATGTTTCTTTATTCTTTTCTTCATTTCCTTTTGTGTGTGTGTGCGCACACGCGCTGGGATGGAAGCGAGGGCCTTGCCCATGTGAAGCAAGCATTCCACCACTGAGACACATTCGCAGCTTCTGCCTCTTTCTTAACCCACACATTCAGACTCTAGTTTGTACCGCTGGGAATCTTCCATTTATTCTCACAGCCAAGCAAGCAGACACCACGTACGGTTCATCCAAGAGAAAGGCTGGCTGTCTTGGGGTATAAAAAGTTGAGGCATTCAGAACTCTCAAATGCAGAGCCACCTGACGAGAGCTGCCTGCCTTGTTTTGTCTTTGGCTTTGTTTAGGCTGTGACTATGTCTAAGCTCTGTTTCTGCTATGAATCCTAGAGTCCGGAATCTTAAAAACAAATTTCATAAGACGCCCAAAGAAAACTGGGAGAAAAGTTCATTCCGCTTGCTTTGCTATTAGTATTTTCCCTCAGGTCATGGAATGGATTTCACTCACAGACCCCAGAATTTCCCAGTCTTGTATCTGCTCTGCTCCCCAAAAGTTCTCAGGCCAGCAGAACAGCCTGCTTTGGAGGAAGCAGACTTGAATTGGAAGCTCAGGTCTGAGGAATGTGTCACCCTCGAGGCAGTAGAAATGGGTGCATTTCAAGTTACCTGCCAGCTCTATTTGCCTACCCTGCACCTCCCCGCTGAGGTCAAGGACAGAAGGAGGAGGGCAGCCGGAAGGAAGGAAGGAAGGAAGGAAGGAAGGAAGGAAGGAAGGAAGGAAGGAAGGAAGGAAGTCGGTCTGGTTGGGAGAAAGGGACAGCAGTGGACGTAGGAACAAGCGAGCTGCTTCCTAAGCGCCCCGCGTTCCTCGGAGCCGGGAAGTGTCCCACCCCGGGGAGCGGGGTTCTGGCCCCGGAACCAGGCTGAGGACAAAGCCCTGCCCTGCTGCTCTGCCCCGCCTAGAACTGCTCTTCCTCTCTCTGCTCCGCGGGGGTGGGGGGTGGGGGGCAGAGCTAGAAAACAGATGTGACTCCAGCCTGGGGAAAGCCAGGGAGAGGGAAGGTCGGGCAGGGGAGGCCTGAGGGAGAAACAAACAAACAAAGGAAACGCAGATGCACAGCAGAGCTGAGGAGGGCCCAGAAGACCATGCTCGCTTATGTTTTCCTGAACTGAAGAGAGATGGGGAACAGGGACTCGGGCCAATCGCTCGGCAGCGAGAGTGATGACCTCAGTGGGCGGCCTGGCTGGGCCGCGGGTGGGAAACCTCCCCAGGCGGTAGGAGGGGGCCCTCCCGGCTTGGGGTGGAGCCGCAGCGGGGCCCAAACCTGGGGACCACAGGAGTCAGCCTGCTGAGGGGGACCCCGTGTGTCCCGTGGTGTTGGGGTGCCCTCTGGATGGCGGTCGCGGGGCCCCTTGCTTCTACACGGCTCCCCGTCTGTCTGCAGAGCACGAGGCTTGGAGAGACTCCGAGTTCTTTTCCTCAGGGTGATTTGGTCAGCTCTGTTCTGTCACGCTGTTTACTATTTAATTGAATCAAGTCTAAGTTAGCAGCAATGCCCAGAAAAGAGCGAAGGCTGTCTGCAGCCGCCAGTCGGTTTTCTGAGGCCCTCCGGAGTCAGAAGTCGGCACTCCCAGCCCTGAATCCCAGCTGCAGGAATCGACTGGCGATCCGTTAATAAAGCCAGTCGGCAGTTGAGTTTCCCCCGGACATATGGAGTTTCTAGAAAAGGCCTGTGGAAGTCTGTGAATTGTAGCTGAGGTTTCCCAGTTCATTGTCATAACCAGGCAGACATTTGGTTTTTTTAGCAATTCAGTACAAGAAATGATTAAGCAATTTAAAAAAAATAAACGTTCTGTGGGGAACAAGTAAAATGGAAAGGGTGGCTGAGATGGGAGGCGGTAGCTGGGTTTCTTCAGATGTTTTTTGCCTGTGAAGAGTACACGCATCAGTTGAAAGCCTCCGGGCAAATGTACAGAAACATGACCACGGTCTGATCTGACTAAATTAAATCCAGGGGCTAAACACAAAAAAATCCCATAAAAGGAAGGGAAAGATGGGGCGGGAGGAGGGGCGGTGCCTGTGAAGCCTGAAGAGTCAAGGCCAGTGGCACAGCTGGACCTAGATGCCCACAGAGTCGTCCCCTGGACGCTTGGGTGGGGGAAGCTTCATCCATCAGAGCCCAGCTTAGATGTCACTGTCTCCTCCCCAAATCCCTTCCCGACCCCCTCTGCTTTTGAAGAGCCAGTCATTCCCCCTCCTGAATTGACTCATCCATTTTATAATCTCATCCCCATCCTTGCTGAGTGATGACAGGGTTTACCTCATGCCGTGGGAGGCAGGGAGCTCCCTGGTGGCAGGGTGAGGTCCTACTCATTCCTAGCTGACATAATGGGCACACAGGAGAACTTGACAGTGTGCTCCACTGAACGGAAAGGCAGACTTGGAGCAGTGCCTTCCCTTTCCGAGACACCAGCTCTCAAAAATGTAGTCAGATGGAAATGGCAGAGGGTAGAGTGTGGGGGAGGTGATTGGAGGGGCTGAGCCACTGTGCAGGCGTGGAGCGACAGGGAATAGGCTGACCTGAACCAGAAGTGCTGGGGAACAGCTGTGCTAGAAGCCAGGGATTTGGGCAAGATCGTTGCATGTAAAACATAGAATTTATATCTGCAGTATTAGTACTTCTGGCTCATTACTTTCTATGTGTAAATTTCTGATGGCACTGATTTTCTGGTGGTAACTTGCAGTTACCCCCATACTTCCTTGTTAGTGCAAATCTAAAATGTTTGATCCAAATTCAGGATTACACTGAAGTTCCTGAAATAGAACCGTCAGCAGCAAAAAATCTAAATAGCTCTGATAAACTGGCTAAAAACAGGACAAAGAGCCGTGCATGAGGTGCATGTGTACCTATAATCCTGCACTCAGGAGGCTGATGCAGGAGGATCACTGTGAGTTTGAGGTCAGCCTGGGCTACATAGTGAGATCCTGTCTCAAAAAACAAAACAACAGGACTCTGGTGCTGGGTGTGATGACACGCCTATAATCCTACTCAGGAGGCTGAGATGGGAGGATCACAAGTTTGAGGCCAGCCTGGGCAACTAGGTGAGACCCTGTCTCAAAATGAAAAGAGAAAAGGACCGGAGTGGGACTCAATGGAATGGGACCCCTCAGTTCCATCCCCAGGACTCTGGCTGACTGGTTTGTTGGCACTGAGCAAGGCCAGCGGCCGTGCTGCAGTCTGTTCTGTGGAGGAGCCCTGGTGGCAAAGAGCGGATGCTCAGCCTGGAGCGTGGAGCCCAGGACTGCCCAAGCCCCATGGGGCCAGCTGGGGAAGCAGCTGTCCTGCCAGTCAGGACCCCCGGGCCCAGCCAGCACTGCTTACACCACTCGGGCCCATACCCAGGCTGAGCATGGATTCCCAACCCACAGAAATGTGGGGAAAATAAATGCCTGTGGCTCTAAGCTGTGAAAATTTGGGCTAAATAGATAACTAGCATGTTGTAAAACTATAATACATACTTGTATTTTTCTTTGAGTCAGGTTCTACTGTGTTGCACATAACAGGCTCAAACTCCTGGGCTCAAGCAGTCTTCCTGTCTCAGCCTCCTGGTAGCCGAGACTGTAGGTGTGCCCCACTGTGCCTGGTTATGACTATTTTATGTATTGTATAGATAAACTATTTGTGTATTTGTAGCTCCACTATAATGACACGGTCTGGTCTCAATACAAAGATGGGAACATGAAATACAATAAGCTGTGTGCAGTGCTGCAAGCTTAGTAACAACTACCACTGTTTCCCCAAAAATAAGACCTAACCAGAAAATGAGCCCTGGTTGTTACCATGGTGATGGCCAGTGTGGTGTAGAACATTACACCTCACTCTTCTCTTGCTCCGTGCTGCTCTGTAAGGCAGGTAAGGCAAAGTGGTCGGGGCTGGCACTTTTGGCCTCTAGTTTTCAAGGTTGATTATTTTCCATGTAGGTCTTATTTTGGGGGAAACATGGCAGGGAGGATGAGCGAGAAGGCTCACTGGAGTCCAGGAGCTCAAGGCTAACTGGGTAATGTAGTAAGACCCTCATTTTGAAAGAGAAAAAGAAGAAAGAAAAACAAATGGCCAATAAACATGAAACCTCATAAATTAGATATTATAATACATTAGCTAGCGTAAAACTAGTTAATAACAATACTAATGTTGAGTGTTTTTGTTTTTGTGCTTCAGGGATGGGACCTAGGGCTTCACACATGCTGGATCTCATAGTACTTTTTCTGGTTGCTGAGACAAAATACCCAACACCCAAAGTTAAAGGAAGAAAGGTTTATTTTAGCTCACAGTTTATAGAGGTTTCAGTCCATAGTCAGCTGGCTCCAAGGCA